ATTGCAGCTGTGTGCCACCAACCAGCATATTGGCTTTCTTCTTGTAATGTTGGAAGATTGATGAAAAAGATTAGGGTTAGCTTGACAATTATGCATGGGTAGGTCAGCATGAGAGCTACGACTTCCGACTCCAAGACAAGATTGGAGAGACTATCCTTACTTGCCTCACAGTACTTACAAAGATCACAACTTGAGATCATACTGCATTCTGGTCTGCATCCTATTCAGCATTCACATGAGACCAAATCTCTCCAGCTGAGTAGAACTCCGAGATCTCTAAGTTAATTGCTTTCTCATTTTGATCGTATTGTATTGTTATGGACTTAGTTGATTTTGCTTAAGTCGTGCGGTATCTCTTTACATGTTCATTCCTGAAAGATCAATCTTTCAAAAAATTTTAATGATCCCGTTAATAAAAGAGAAAATATTTTACTCGAAATTCACAACCATTTAAACATAGTTAATACAAATTATAAACATGAACTTTGTAAGTTTTAGATGATTACATGACAAAGGGTCTAAGGTGATCCATCACATATAAAACAAAATGAGTTTGTCAAACCTACCATCAACCCTCAAGTATTATATCAAATATCTAGGTTATAATTTTATCTATGATCATTCCTTACATTAGTTATAGTATAGCCATTCGATTTCATTGTTTCGCATTCAAGACGAAGAAAAGCTAAAGGTGATTTAAATTATGCCAAGCTCATCATTGGATTCTGCCAACAAATTGACCCATGTCCATAATTAACGCTGGTAGGTTCAAAAGACAGGTTTGGTAACTACCTGTTGGGCATAATCCAACATCCAATCTCCTTGATCATATTTTTATTATTTGAAGATCATCGAATCAAATTAATCAAGATTAACATATATCATGTCAGATATTAATTATATCCAAAATTTAATCCTTTCTTTAATTTTTTATTTAAAAGATCGTATTTTGTCCACATGAAATAACAATGAATTTGAGTCAAATTTGTCAGTTAGCTTATATTTGATTAGATTATATTCAATCTTAAACTATGAATCGAACTCAATATACATAATTCGATTCTTTCAATCGTTTGCGAGGATCAAATCTAATATATATAATATGATTCTTTCCATATGAAACCGTCTTCTAAGTTCATCTTTCTTTATATCATACACAAATATTTACAACTCTAACAACAGCTGTTAACCGGTGAGCTGGATTTATCTCGAGAACAATATATTTCGGCAAGTGCTACCGCTACAATAACAAATCCTGGAAAGATTTAAGGGGATGAAAGGGTGACTCGGAAAGATATGTGTCTTGCAGAATCCTTCTTACGGTAGAATGTGCCCAGTTAATTGCTTTCATCACATTTGATCTGCAGGAAAACAAGAAACAAAAGGCGAAAAACATGAAACGAAAACAAAAGCACGAGGCAAACCAAAACTGCTGCATTGAGAATTGAGAGGATTCCTATTGTTTTTGTTTTATTTGTTCACAGAAAACAAACTTTGGCAGTGTTTTCTATGTCTCTTTTCCCATTTGCTACGTACATGCAGATTGGGAAAGAGAAGAACGTGACACTCACCTGGAGAGAGAGAGAGAGAGAGACGTCACATTTTTTCTAAGAGAACGTGACGTTTTGGACCTCCCCGCCGACACTACGGTGACTGCCACTTTCAGGGGAAGAGGATGATGAGGAATTCCAAAAGGAGGACGGCGACGGAGACCCGGCCCCGTCCTTCTCCCTCTTCGGTATCGGGTTCAGACTGATGGCCACAGGCGGGATCTCGGAGCTGCGCAGGTTCGGCGGCGGGTGGCGCCACTGCGGCAACGGCCCCGCCAACAGCAGCGTCTGCAGAAGCGGCCCCGCACCCATCACCGCCTCCACCAGTCGCCCCTTTTCCGGCAGGGCCTTCCTCACTGCCGCCAACTCCACCTCCGCCACCGCCGAAGACGCCCGGTTGCTTCTCTCAACCACGTCCTCCGCGGCAGCAGTAGCAACCGCTGCCGCCTCCGCGACGTCAGTCCCCTCGTCCAAAGCCAAGTTGGGGCCGAGGTTGGGCTTGGGTTCCTGGAGTGGCTGACCGCGGTCGGTGTGGTGAAGGAGGAGGAGGAGGAGGGCGTGGCGGGCCTCGTCGCGCTCTCGGGTGGCGGCTTCGAGCAGGCGGGAGAAGTGGAGGGCCCGGGACTCCATCCTCCGGAGCTCCTCCTTGGCCGTGGCGCGAGTGGACTCGAGCTCCAGGGTCGTCCGGAGGAGCGCTTGCTTCAGCTCCTCCACCATCGCGACTCCGCTCGCTTCCTGCCATGCATTCCAACCTATCATGGCTACAAGCTCTAGTTTCGAGAGGTCGGAGGAGGAGGAGAAGAAGAGGGAAGATACCTGAGGTTGCCAAGGCAAAGACCATGAGGCGGCGAAAGCTTCGCCGCCGCTGGCGAGAGGCGGAGGCAAGCGGTGGAGGTGGTCCATGTCGGTTGCCTGTTGGCGGCGACCCTCGTCCAAGCACTAGCCAATCCCATTCTTTCTTATATGAATGCGGCCGTCAGCGTAGTACACACGAGACACCTCATCCGGATTGACGCTGCATAAAATGTCATTGATGCCCATTTCAACTTAGAAATATGACGACTTTAGACCTACACTTTTCCTAGTAAATTAAAATGCATTGGTTCTTCAAAGCATTTAATTTCCTAGTAAATTAAAATGCATTGGTTCTCTGAAAACGTATCCATCAGTTTCATCAACCCGAGACATAAAATCCCCACGTATCATCTTTCCCTGCAAAGTTTATTATTAGAAAGGGATCATCAAGTAGGATTACGATACCAACAAGCAGAGCCCAGACAGGCAATCGGCTCTATTGTTCTGATGGAGAGAAGAACCATCAATTCATACAAATTTTATACCTTACTCAGAGAAAAATCACATTACGGCTGAAGTGATTAGAAGTGAGAGAATGATAAAGTTGATGGGAATATAAAACGGAATAATCTTTTATATATGAAAAATATTAATAGGCCATGTAACGGAATTAAATGAAATCATAATCAAATAGAACACCAAGATATATGTGAAAAATTCCTCTAATGTGAAAGGTAAAAATCACAGGGCAAACTAGAGAATAATGAATATGCAAATCTCAATCTATTGCTCTAAACCCTAGCAACAATCACAAAAGAACAACTGAAATACAAGGATCACGTCACTGTCCACGATATCTAAAATCTCCCCAAGTAATCATAACAAGAGTCTACTATAGATTTGATCTAACTTGAGATGAGAACACTGTTAGATGATTGAGAACAATCTCTCTGCGTTGTCCTTATTTTCTTCCCTTTCTTTCTCTTATTTTTCTGTCTTTTTTCTTCTCTCTTTGCTGCTGCGAAGATCACCACGTTGCTGCCCTTTTCTGCCTAAAAAACGTAGCCACCTCTTGCCAAAACGTAACCGCCACACCCCTTATATTGATCTAAGGTTAGATTAAGAAGAGGTGTGGGTTGTGGACTGATAAAACTCGCATTGGGTTGAATATGGGCTGTCAACCCAACAAAAAAAATGGTCGTCTCATAGATCTTATCTCTTTGAAACCCGACCTCGAGTCGCTTCTTCAAAGGCAATCTTTTATGGCGATGAATTTACTCGCCATCTTTTATTTCAATGCATATTTGCCGGTTTAGCATGCAAAAATGAGCGCTGAAAATTCTCAATTTGATGTATGAGTTTGATAAATGGTATAATGGATGTTGGCTTACTAGTAAACAGCGTTGGCAAAGTGATTGCCGAGGAGGTGACCTCTGGGCTTTTATAGTAGAGAGGAAAGCTATGTATTTTTCGTTTTAGGTGGCCAAGCAAAAAAGCTCAATTCCCGGCTTAAGGTAGTTTATAGTTGGTTGACTTTACAGACTCGGACCTATTGCAACCACTTTATCAAGCACAAGGTAAGTAAGAAACATGCACCTAACCACAAACTCAAATCCAAGACAATAGGGTGGAACCTTTCAACCACCAACAATACCTCTTTTCCTTTGGTAGAATAAAGCCAAAATATCTTGGATTGAAAGAGGATATAGAAATACCAAATACTTTTACTGACTGATTAGGAATAGAAGATACAAAACTTTTATCCATTACATTATTGATACTGATCGTTAACAAGTCTCCAATCATAATGACATATCAGCTTGTTTTGTCAAATAATACGATAATATTTAAAATCAAATCTGTGTTTAGAACAATCATTGATCAGAGTCAATGTCCCCAACCTAACCAAATGATGACTCCAAGGCTGATGTTTTTGTCAAATCATTTACTTATGATAAAATCCTCACTTCCCTCTAAGAAAAGATAAAAATCCCGAATCGAATAATTTTATTATTATTATTATTATTTTTTGACCTTATGCTATAAAGCACAATAGTGCATATCTTCCTTTTTATTGATAATTCATTTGTCTTCCTTTTTGTTGATGTTACATTTGTCTGCCTTTTTATTGATAATGTATTTATCTTTCATATATATATATATATATATCATGTGCATGTTGATAGATACCTTGTTATGTTTATCACCAAGAAGGTAGGCCAATAACTTAAGAGAATAGTATTAATCCAGGCCTCTAATAGGAATTCACATAGGCTTAGGGAAGAACTTATAGAAGGATCATATGTTTGAGGGAATTTTCGATTTAGGAATACCGTCCTTTAATTTTAATTTTAATTTTAATTTTATTTTAAATGACGAACTCAAATTCCAAGTAAGAGTGCCTCAGATAGCACGAATTCTCAGAGGCCCATCAAAACCGTCCATTGTTTCATCAGACGGATGATTGAGATCAAAAGAAACGATGGAAGGATATAGAACGGCCCAGCAAATAGACACGTCGGTTTAAGAAACCAAGTCCGTTTTTGAAATGGGTGCACCAATCTTGAAGAGATGCATCCCATTTAGATAATCCATATTTCATATTCGTAAGTGGAGGTAGGTGATTGCTATACTCGGAGGCTGAAGGCATCATTACATGGTGCCGATTCCCACTCGCTCTCACTGTTTCTTGGCGAGCACCGTATTCCCGATTCCCCACTCCCTCTTCGTTCCTCTCACCGGTGATTCTCAATTTTGAGCCGTTTAATAATGGCGGAGAACAGCAACAGCATGGGGGAGAGCGACAAAGATGGATCCGCCTCCTCTCCCGCGGGTAATTTTCGCGACCCTTTCTTCTTCTTGGTTGGGTTCGTATTCGCGGGTTGTGGTGCCCCGTGATTTCGTACTGTTGTCTATGCCGATGGGGTGTTTGAATGATTGATTTCTTCATGGAGTTCCACCGGCGTGTTTATGTCGCTGCGTTCTTTGATACTCGGGTGTTTCTGATGTAACCGATGTGACAACGGGAGGTTCTAATTAGTTCGAGGGTCTGATTTCGGAGTTTGGTATCAGTTACTCTGATGGGTTTTGAGGCGTCATGAGTGATTTAGGAAGAGGAATGAAATCTAGCGGTTCCGGATTGATAGGTACTTTACGGCGGTGGTGTCTCCCGTATCGATTAGAGGGCTCGTAACTAACTGGGAATTGTCCAACAACGACCCTATTGTAGCGAATAACAAGATTTGGGAAACAGTCTTTTCTAAACATGTAGAAATATCTAGTCACCGAACACTGGCTTTAGTCGTAGCGCTGGATTTCTGCAGGTGCTAGATTGACAAGAGTCGCTGAAAATTTTTCTTTAGATGGAGTGCGATTTTTAATTCCCAAGAAAATGTTGTTGACCTAAAAAACATTCTAGAGAGCAGAACTTATCAAGCGGTGATCGTTGATCAGTTCTTTGGTTATTTCCCTTTTTTAATCATGGTCTTTGTCCAGATCAGAGATGATTTTTTTTTTTTTATATTAGTACACTTAGAATAACATCTTCCAGCTGGTACCATCACGCGCAAGACAGGTTGTTTTGACTTGATTGAACCATCATCAGCTTTTCAGTGAATTTAGGTTCTTCCTTTGTAAGTTTTCTTTTGGACAAATGTGACAATTTATCATTTTCCTTGTACGAAGATTATTCTCATTAGTTACCAACCAGGTAGTATAGAACTGAGATCTGCTACTGATATATTTGTGAATATAAAGATTGTGTGATTTGCTAAAATTTCATAGAGAGAAAATATGTATGTTTTAACAAGAGAGTCCTCATGAGGATTATGGTTAACCTTGGTCGAATGTGTCAAAGGTAGTGGTAGTGGTGCTTTCCATCTTGGCTAACTTCAATTATGTCCTTCTAATGTGGAGCATCGGTAGTGTACCTGTTTGAACAAAATTATTTTATGATTGTTCTATATTTTCTGACTTCTATAGATAAAGTTACTTATTGGGATGTGCTCTCTGTTCAGAGACTAAACTTGTGTTTTTTTACATTAGTGGTTCCAGGGCAACCCATACGGAAAATAGAAAAAAAAAATCTTTTTTTTTCTATTTTAATTCATTTCATTTACAAATTTTTTGATGTATTCAGTCTTCAAGTGTGGAAACCGCAGGACTAGAAGGGGTAGGATTGATTCTCATAATTATAATTAAAGTAAAGTATGTCGAAAGTTTTTTTGAATAGTGCCATGCCAAGGTGAAAATAAATGTCCAATAGCAAGTTTCCTTTCATGCACTATGTTCGATATCAAGAAAAAGTGGTTCTGCATTCAAGGGGGACTCATTTTCTGATGAAGAAATGGAAATGCCACTATGTAAATTTCTTACTTCTTGGTGCCAAATTGCAACATCTTGATTATTCCTCTTTTGATTTGTTAAAAAATTGCTGAGCTACCAATAAATGATACTGCAGTATGTAGACCACCACATTTGCTAATGCATAGTAGCTCCTTTTGTACAACTTGAGAAGTGGAAAATATATTTTTTAATACTGTGATGTAGCATCTAAATTCTCTTTCTGTTGTTTCAGTCGCGAGAAATCTTCCTAGGGCAAGCACAATGCCTAAAGGGACAAAATATGCTGAAAAATCAGAGACATCCTCAGAAGAACCAAATCTAGAAAGGTCCAAAACTGAGAAACATGGGCAAAATAGTCCACATGATGACCCAACAGCCCAATTATTTGACGACAAGATTCCTGACAAACAAAAGGTTTGACCCTCTTGGCCTTCCTTATTTCCTGGGATGTATTAATATTTATATTATAGGATATTTTTTTAGTATAGCTTTTGATTGCTGAGAGATTATTCTTATTGTGCATCGCTCTTTACATGAACAGTTTTAAGTTTTATTACTCTAGTTAACCACGACCTTGTTTGGCATGTTTGCTGCTTTAAAAAAATAAATGAAGCAGAAATTTTGAGGGGTACCCTAGGTCCATCTTCTCAGTTAGAATAGAAGAAGATGCAGCGCTTTAGTAATTGGTGAGAGACTATGTTGGTGTTATGCTTAAATGTGGATTTTAGATCTGCTGCCTGTAGACGAATTAGATCGATGGTTGGTTATTATAGTTTTAGTTCTTAAATGTGTCAACAAGACTGATGAATTTTAATTTATATTGCTGAATTCTGTCCTGTAATTATAAGCCACAGAATATTTACTTTGATTTATGATTCGAAGTAGAGTAAAGATTTTAAAGGACAGCAGAAAAGAAGACAGGAGGAAGGATTGGATGACTGCTGTCCATTTTTAGCTGGTCAGTGAGCCATATCATCTTCCCAGATATTCAATGTATTTGTTCTCTTAAGAGACTGTTCATCATGGTTATTAATTTTGGATAGTGACTTCAAAACTTAGAAGCCACATGTAACATAGTTAACAGTCGAAAGCCCCTATGCATGATTATCCACCACAACAAGGCTTTAATTCAAAATTTTCTATTTGAATTTTTGTTCTGTGGGTCTTTTCCTGCCATTTAGCTCTGTCAAGAGTAATTTCTCTTTGAATAGTAAGATGTCATTTCCTTAAATTTTTAATAATTTCTCTGGTCTTACTCAAAATTTACGACACCTTGACTTAATTATTTGAACACCTCCTTTCTGGTGTGTTATGTCTAGTCACATTGAACATATTGCAGGGGCTTATGTTAGTAAGTTCTCTGTCCTTGTTATGCAGCTTTTGCTTGCGAAACACTGGATTCTTGTTCTGTTCTGTGATGCTGATAATAAGTTTGCAATAAGAAGACTTCAGAGTGTGCTAATGGGAGCTTGAGAAGGGCCAAGAAATATGTTCCAGCATGATGGAATGCTGATCACTGCTTTAGGCCACAATATAACCATTGACAATCTGGACATGAGCTTCTTTAAGGAAAAGGTGAAAGTTTCCAGTACAAATTGACTTATAATTGCCACTTGATTTATGAAAACTTGCATATTCAAAATTGGAACAAAAATTTCCATAACGTATGATGTTGTTATAAGTTGTAACTTACAAATTTCCCGAGATGATGGACCCTTTTGGTATAGAACAATCTAGAGATTGAATTGTTTCTCCTTATGCGATGATGGAAGCCAAGTACTTTTGAAGGATTGGCGGATGGTGGCCAACATAGGCTTAGGGCATGTCTCTAAATGAAGCCAAATATGCACAATGACAGAAAGGATGAAACCAACAATGGGAAAACAAAAGCCATTGTAGCATGAAAGTATGGCATTTTTTGCAGCTATGTAGGTTATAGCAGCCAACAATGGGAAATCAATGCCATCATAGCTAGATGTTGGTATTACAGAGAACATTATTGGTTCAATGCTTTAAACAAATAAAGATTGATGACCAACTGAGAAAAATAGAGTGGAAATGGATTGGTTTTAAAATTTATAGACATGATGGAGGACTAACCTATTATTCATTGTGTGGTTAAGCATATTTAATGATAAGAGAACAGACAGTAAGATCATCCATGAAGATAGATCATGAACTGGACTTTAGATGCACCCCAAATCAAGGATTAATTTCCTCTGTCATGGGAGTGCTGGCTGGCCCCTGGATCAGTTCATATTGGCATGTCATACTATGCCTCACTGAACCATGTGTTGTGCTGCCCGAACAAGGGAAAAATGTAATTTACTAGGCATTAAAACCAAAGGGTAGAATAAATAGTTAACGCTTAATTTGTTTCTTCTATCATGTATTCGACGAAACTCTGATGTGGCAAGTTTCATTTATTCCTCCCCTTTCATATCCACTTCTCCACTTCTTTGATGACTATGCTACAGTAGGAACACTTGAGTTTTCATGGAGTATTGTGGCAAGATAAACCCAGGTTCTAAACTGAAGAAGCCTAAAAGCCCATAACCAAAGCTTATAACTAATTGATTTTAGACACTGAACTGGACTGGCTTGGTACTCATCCATCTGAAATGAGAGAGTGAAAGAAAAGAAAAAAGAAGATATAGAAGAAAAATATAAATCAATTTATGCTTGTTGCTCGTTGAATTCTAAGAACTTCATTTTTGCATGCCAAATGGTACATTTTGCTCAAATGGGTAGTGGGCAATGAGAATTTTATTTTTGCTCTGAATTGTTCCTTCTAACTAAAAGCTGGGTGGTCCCAGCTACTTGGCTTAAGCTGAATAAATTCAATTCCTTTACTAGTTTTGTCCTTACACTGTATGACATTGCAATGTTATGTTTTTGTCATCAAGGAAAGCTTGCATCATGTTTTGTCTTTGTAAGGGAATCTTTTCAGTTATATTGGGCTTTTTTGTTATCTATTTTTATGGTTTTTCTTTTAATTTTATATGATGCAGATGAAGATGTTAAATCGAATAGCTACAGTGAAGGGTGATGGGACTGTTGTGGTAGATGTTCCAAGCAATTTTGAAACCACATCAATAAATTTGAGATCTGAGAATACATATGGTGAAGCAGTTGATGAAGAGCCAGTAGATTTGACTGATCTACAGTATCGACCTCCTATGCAAATAGTCATTCTTATTGTTGGGACACGAGGTGATGTGCAACCATTTGTTGCTATTGGAAAACGTTTGCAGGTTAGTTAATTTGTGATGTATTCTTCTGTATTACTAAATCCTAACAATTACCATCGGTCTAATTTTGGATTTGTAACTTAGTTCAGGCAGTGTTTAGTAAGTAGATTTACTTCATATTTTTTATTAAGAAATTTTTCAATTTAAATTTCGGAAGTGCCTAGTAAGATTTATCAACGTTTGTTGTATCACCCAAGTCGGTATGGTGCGGATGGTATGGATTGGTCTGACTGACAACCGAGACATGGATTGCTGGAGTCCTTGTTGACACGCCTGAACGTATCATGTGTCGGTACACTCGTATAGGCCTGGTACATATAGATCTAACAAATCTCTTAGACGGATCTGGTACCCGAAATGGTGCCTCCTGAGATTTATAGTCATTTTTATTTAACACTCTGGAACTTTGTTAATTGTTTGTGCATGGTTTTCATTTTTCTTCTTATGCATCGTTGGTCTCATCAAAAGTTCCTAGTTTTATACATCTTGATCCAGTATTTTGAGTATCCCATTTGGGCATTTGAGACATGGGAGAAATAAAAAATATTTTTGTCCTATTAGAACAAAGGCTAAGAATACTTGTCAGCATTTTCTCTTAGAGTATTTTTGAACAAACTGAAAAGTACTATGCCCTTTGTTTTTTTATCATATGAGAACTTCATGTTTGTCTAGTCAGCATTGTCTTTTGATATTGGACATCATTTCCTTATGCACAGACATTTTATTTTCATTACTTTCAGAAGGCAGTATTATTGATTTATATGTACTTCATTTTTTCAGCATTTAGCCTCTTTGGACATTGTGTTCCACATGACTGCCCCATGACTATGAAATAAGTTTCTTTCAGGACTATGGTCATCGTGTTAGGCTGGCAACTCATGCAAATTTCAGGGAATTTGTTTTAACTGCTGGCTTGGAGTTTTATCCTCTAGGTGGAGATCCAAAAATTCTTGCTGAATGTATGTGAATGATTTAGTTAGTTATTAAATGTGGTTGACAAATGTATTTCCTGATAGTTCAGCTCATGGATTGCTACTTTTTCAGATATGGTTAAGAATAAAGGTTTCTTACCTTCTGCACCATCGGAGATACCTATCCAACGGAAACAGATTAAAGAAATTATATTTTCCTTGCTCGCAGCCTGTAAGGATCCTGATATTGACACCGGTGTTCCGTTCAAAGTGGATGCTATAATTGCAAATCCACCCGCATATGGTTAGAATCTGAACTTCTATACTATTAGCTGAAAGTAGCTTTTTTATCTTTTCCTCTCTTGGTCTTGATTTTAGCAGATTAAGATATGTCAGCATCTATTGTTTAGCCTCCAAGAACAGTAAGAAAGTAATATATAATAACACTACATAATCTTATGTTTTTTTTTGTTTGCGCATTATATCATTATATTACACAAGGTTTGCAATTTTGGGCCATGGTTAGACCGATACGAGTCTGGTCCATTCCGGCATACCAACACACGGTGTGCTAAAACATACTTTGGTATTGATGGGGGAGGGAGAGAAACAAAGGAAGAAAGAAGAAGAGGAAGAGGAAGCCGAGGATGAAGAGGTGTACTAGGAGTTGGCGACAGGCACATGGGTGGTGGCGAGCAGAGGGCGACAAGCAGACATGGGAGTAGCGATGGGTGAAGACGTGAGAGTCACAATGCACAAGCCAAGCCCTAGTGTAGGGTTAAAGTTACAAGAGAAAAAAATAATAATAATATAATTATACTGAACCAGATCGGGCCACCCTATTTTGGCTGGTCCACATACTGGTTGGTGGTCGGACCGATAAAAACCAGTCGAACTATACCAAATCGGTGATATTGCAATATATGATATTACAGTCATTATTTATGGTGCTACATCAAACGACAAATAGTATGTTGTCTTATGGGCAGGGTAGATCCATGAATTATATGCAGGCGGTCATTCTAGTGAATCAATAATTATTGGCAACATTTCAACATCCTAAGAGAGTGATATGTTTTGGCATATCCCAGACCAAAATGAAGGAAAAATAATTTAACAAACGAATGGAGTACATGGGCCATATGAAGTGGAAATAAGCATAGGATAACTGAGGGAAGGATTTATTTAAAATAATGAAATTCCGCACCAATATCATACTCGCACAGACAAACAGGCTTTCACCTCTCCGATAAACTGAAAAAGGCAGACTAAGACAAAGACCTCACTGATCTTAATAATGGCCCCCAGGATACCAAATTCTCAACTTTTTTGGTTTGTTGCCTGAGATATCATTGGCTTATTTGGTATATCTTGAACAGGATCATTGGGTAAGAGCTGCTGCTTAGGCTCTCTGTTGCAAACAATGTATATACCAACTGAATCATGCTGGTCTTTGAGGGTGGCATTATGGGGTTTGCTGCCAAGGCATATGCCTAGGCACAGGAACGGGCCTATGCAATGTAATAAAATCTAATGATATCATCGCAACATGGTTGGAAAAAGGTACACGTGTTAAGCATTAAGGGTATTCTGTTGCCAGGACTAATTCAAAATTAAAATCACATAAGCTTTAGGTCTCTTTGACATCAAGGTAAAAGTTGTGATGTGATCTTCTGCTGGACAACAGTGGAGTTTTTAACAGGATATGATCACTTTGCTTTTTTTTACCTATTTTGGTCTTAGAAACAAGCTAAGTATTTAAGAATGAACCTTGATCATTTTATTCAGATCCAGCAAAGCCTGAAGTAAAACACAGTTCCTCCTACTGCTGAACACCGTATTACTTCACTAGTCACCTTCTTGTATTTCATGTGCTACATTTGTGTGGTTAGTTAAATTACTTGCTTTCTCAATCTGCCTTGATAGCACAAGATGTTTATTGCTCGTCTCTACTTGTATATGGTTATAGTGGTTTAATTAATAGATACTATAAATAGACTGCATTTAGTTACTGAGTTTACGCTCATGTTTCGTCATTTCCATAAGGACTTATTTTTTTTTTGTTTTATATCCCTGAGGAATGATGATTCTGACTATCGACCTGGATGAATGCATGTTCAGGGCATACACATGTGGCTGAGGCGCTAAAAGTACCAATTCACATTTTTTTTACAATGCCATGGACGTGAGATCTTGTTTCCCTTTTTCATTCTTTCTGTATTAGCATATGGTGGTTTACATTATGGCTATGTTTGAAGTTGGTTTTAGTAAAAGTAGGTAACTTGCAAATCTATATGCACTGCCTGTTATTACCTTAACCTAAGAGCTGAAGTGTGCCTGATGTGACATTTTCTTTCACATTTTCAGACCAACTAGTGAATTTCCACATCCTCTTTCCCGTGTCAAGCAATCTGCTGGATATAGAGTAAGAAAAATATATTTCGCTCTCCTATTGTTTGATTTGTTATATTTTCTGTATTAAATTAAAGAGTGGTTAACATTGTCTGTTTAACCTAGTTAAGATCTTGATGTTATTGTGTAAAATTCTATAAGCTAATGTGAAAGTTCTTTCTTTGTGCTTTGATGCCAGCTTAGTTTCTATCATTACCTATCTCGGCAGTATACTGCATGATGTCATAATAATGGCTTATGTTTTTTTTTTTCTACCTATAGCTTATATTCTGAAGCCATTGAATCAATTTTCGTGCTTTTATCCGGTCTTGCTTTTTAGTATAATCTTGAGTTGTATGTAGTTAATGACCTTCTTCTTCATATATTTACTATTGGTACTCTCTTCTCATTGATATAGTTCTAAATAGTTTATTTCTTGTGTTTTATTCCTTGATCTGTGTAGATTTCGCCTGACTTTAATTTTACTTAATTATGATTTTTGTCTTCTTTTGCAGCTCTCATATCAGATTGTTGATTCTATGATTTGGCTTGGAATACGGGACATGATAAATGATTTTAGGAAAAAAAGATTAAAGCTGCGACCTGTGACTTATTTAAGTGGCGTACAGACTTCTGCCTCTGACATACCTTATGGGTATATCTGGAGTCCCCATCTTGTTCCAAAACCAAAAGGTCATTTTTTGAACTTAGTGATAATTGTTTAAACATATACTTTGAGTATAGATGTTAACTCTGTGACTGGCTCATGAACTGGGCAATTTCTCCTGGTCTAGTCTGAAATCGAGCTTACCACACTGGCATACCGGGCAATAAGCTGACTGGTAGCCTGTTGTACCAAACAGTAAGTCTATCATCTGATACTTGCACTCTCCATACCCCTTCTTTTCTTGCTCTTATTTTTTTTTGCTTCTCCATGCTCCATCGCTGCTGCCTTCCCACCATGCTGTTGCTCCTCCATTTGTTCGTTTGTGTAAGGGCCTCTCCTAAACTGCTTGCATGCATTGTGATCTCTTCTCTACTGCATGCACACTCCTCTTCCTTCTTTTGCCTCCTCTTGCTCTCACTCTTGTTCTAGGTTTATCCTCCTTCTCTTCCTCTTTATTATGCTCTGCTCGTCTATATGGTACCAAACGGTATCAACCGTTGATACATTTATCGGTACCAATATCGTGCCAATCTGACCACCAGTTGTTATGGATACCAACTGAGACTTTAATTCTTGGATGTATGATGACAACATAAAATTTATCCAACTATAAGAGGTCAGTTTGTAGTTGCATATAAATGTATTTTCATAATTTTTGTCAGAAAAGAAATGATGGCACCAATTTCTGTTGTTGTTGTTTTTGGTTCTTGAATTGGTATAATAAATTAAGTTGCATTAGCTTTTCACGTTATAGACAACAAGAGCATTAGTCATAACTCTCTTTTTTATATATTCATAAACTGGCCTTTCTGAAAGAATTTTTACATTTTGATATTTGGTGTATGGAAAAGTGTAAGCTTCAATTGTTTTGTGTGGTTACTATTTGCAGATTGGGGACCCAAAATTGATGTGGTTGGATTTTGTTTCCTTGACCTTGCATCAAATTATGAACCGCCAGAGTCACTTGTAGATTGGCTGAATGCTGGTGACAAGCCTGTTTATATTGGGTTTGGTAGCCTTGTAAGTTCATTTTGCTATTATGATGTCAGTCACCCTTTCTGCAAATGATCTTTCATTGGCTCTCCATAGCTTCTGCAAAGTATCATTGCAGCCATATTGAATTTATTTTCTTTCACATTTGTTGACTGTCGCCTTTATAGTTTTTTATTTCTTCTCTTAAAGCTTATTAGTACTCTAACTGGTTATTTGTTAATAGGCACTAGTTTGTACGGCATAATTATTCTACCACTATAGATTGCAATAGCACGTCTTTTTCTCAAATATGTTGTATGAGCTTTTTTATATAAAGATTGGTTCCTTACCTTTTACTAGGCATCCTGGTTTCAGATCACATCACTGTTATAGTTGGTTTCAGGAATTGTCTACCACATGTTTGAGAAATCTAGAGTGGTTCTTTACTTCTTTTGATGTGTGGAATGTTCTTAAATCCTCCTTGAAAGATACTCGCAATGGCATTCCCCTTCTGTCTTCTAGGTTAATTACTAGTTATTACTGACATAAATAAGTCTCAATGTGCATATCTGCTGCAAATTCTTATATCAAAAGCTGAGTTGTCTGATGGGGTGCCCAGGTTAGACCTTGATGATCCTGTGCCAAAACGTGCTGAAGAAATTTATTTTGCAAAATTATTAGTTATATAAAATGTCTCTTCAGTATTTGTATGGAACATATAGGAATTAATATGGAAAATTGGAAGTAATCTTTCTATTCACTGAGGGTTACAAGAACCCTCCAAGATCCTACATTCGCATAATCCTCATTCACTAGAGCTCATCCTTTTGGCAGATATCAGTTGAATTATCTACACACCGTCATGCATGATAATTACTGCTATAGGAACGCTTTTATCTTATTGACTAAGAGTGCATTTGGGAACATATTTGAAATGTGCATTGATGATATAATTCACATTTCAAATATGAATTGATGTTTGGTAAATTTTTTGAAATCATATTTGGTCTGAATGCTGTATTGCAAATATTCAAATGTTGATGCTACCTCGGGGTAGCATCCACAAAGGCAGCATCAGCATGCAACATTTGTGGGATGCTAATGTAACTTTTCAAATTCCTAAAATACACTATGGCATTATATAAAATTACATAATGACCATTATAATTTAGTGAGAAACCAACATGATTTATATCTTTTATAAGATGAAATTTTATTTATTTATTTTCGAAGGTTATTTTACATTCATATATATGATTATATTTTTTATTTATTATATATCTGGGCCATATGAAATCTTTTGTAAGATTACAGACATTTATTTATTTATTTTCTTATTAATTTAAATAAAAATATGTATTCCCTTTTGAATAACTATTAAAAATATTAAAAGGATAAATTTATCTATAGTATTCAATGAACTTTTGAAATATAATTTTACCAAAAATAGTTATGTCAATGCATATTTAAAATATAATTTTTTTCTGTTGTTTGCTAAACAGTATTCTAGAGTTGCATATTCTAAACAGTATTCTCTAAATGCACATTAAAAATATAAATATGCTCTCAAATGCAACCTAAGTCAGTGTTACCATTTTTTTTATGCTAATGTATTACATTTTCTCGGTCAATATGTTATATGCCACAAGGACATAAATATTGAAGTATAAGTTAAATAATTATGTTGGACTCTTGTAGTTTAGCTTGTAATTATATGGTTCTGAGTTTTACTGTTTATCAGGAGAATGAGTTGCAACCTAACCTATTTATCTTGTAATCTAGATAGACTTCGGCCATGATCATTAATAATCTTCTGTTCGATAATGACACTCAGCTTTTAAGGATTTGTTTATTCTGAAATGAGACCTGGAATTAGCATTGAGAGAACAGAAAGAAAGAAAAAAAAAGTGGTTTTATTTAGTTTCCTTTTTGTAGCTAGTTTATTGAGCATCATGTAAGGATTTGTTTATTTTTGGATAGATATAGAATTAGCATTGGGAGAACAGAAGGGAAGTGCTTTTATCCTTCTAAAACACTTCGACCCCAGCCATTCTACCTTGCGTTGAAACCGAATTAGCTGCTTGATTATAATCCCTGTAACATTAAGAGAACATTACAATTTAACTTTGACAAATTTTAAATAGAGTAATCCTTCTCTAGCAACAGGAGCTTCACATTGCAGTGCATATTACACATACCTCAGATCCTGTGTGCCTCCTAAACCTCATGCATATAAGATGTTTTAGCAAATTTAGTTGTTCAACTTGACTATTTGAATTTTGTTGTGGTCATAGCTCTATAGGATTTGATATCATCAATGTCTATGCCCTCCTAGTATCGGTACTCACTCTTGTTTTAAACTTTTGTGTAAATATGTAGCCTGTTCAAGAACCTGGAAAAATGACAGAGATCATTGTGGAGGCACTAAAAATTACTGGTCAGAGAGGCATCATCAATAAGGGCTGGGGTGGCCTTGGAAATTGTGAGCATATTGTTTATATGACAGTTCTTTTTTTCTCTTTGTTGCTTATCCTACTGAGATATTTTATAGAAGGATGTTATTTTTTCAGTGGCAGAACCCAAGGATTACGTGTACCTGCTGGATAATGTTCCCCATGACTGGTTATTCCTGCAATGTAAGGCAGTGGTAAGCCATGCAACTTGACACTTTTGATTTGCTGATGCTACTTTATGTTGCAGTGTTACTCCAAGATCTTCTATGACATATGAAGAAAATTTCAATATAAAGTTCAGGTACCTGCTAAAGCAGGAATCATAGGGTACATGTTAGTTGAGCATTGGATCAAGTGTCTTGAAATAAGGAGGATCCAATCAGTGTTTTCAAAAGGTGCTTCGGCGAGGCGTGGCTCGAGCGCCTTGCAAAACCTTCGGGTGAGATGTTTCGATGAAGTGCTGCTCAGGCGCTCGCCTGAGCCCTAGCGCCGAGCGCCTCTGGCGAGTGCCCAAGTGAAGTTGGGTTAGAGTTTGAGCATGGTTCGATGGAACGAGCAAGTCAAACCCGCTCTCCCGAGAGACAAACCCAAAGTGAAACCATAACACAAAACCCGCGCCCCCCCTAGGAAACAAACCCGAAGTGAAACCCTACATCTGTCGCCGCTGCCTTCATCCGTAGCTTTGTCCACCTCCCTCTCCTTCCCCCACCTTCCTCAATAGTCGTCGGTTACTCCTCTTCTCAATTCCCTCTTTAGAACTGTTTAGCATTGGTTAAAACTGTTTAGCATCATATTGATCCACTCTTTAGGACTCTTTAACACTAATTAGAACTCTTTTAGCACTATATTGACTCGCTCTTTAGAACTGTTTAGCACTGGTTAGAAACTTGTTTAGCACAATTCTCCATCGGTAGAAACTAGATTGTGTCATTTTATTTTTAGGATCATATTTATCGATCATAATATATAATTTTTAAAATTTAATATTCTTGAGCGCCTCACTTCGCTCAGACAAGTGCTATGGCATGCACCAAGAGCTTTTAAAAATACTAGATCCAATGTGGACCAACAACATTGTTTGTTGATTGATAGTGGTGAAAATAAATTGATCAAA